GGGGCGCACCTTCCGCCTCCCGCTCCGGCGGTGTGTGCGGGCCCAGCCCCCCCTGCATCACCACCGTGTCCGTCAACGAGAGCCTCCTGGCGCCCCTCAACCTGGAGATCGACCCCAACGCGCAGTGCGTGAAGCATGAGGAGAAGGAGCAGATCAAGTGCCTCAACAGCAAGTTCGCGGCCTTCATCGACAAGGTGGGTGTCCTGGATCACGCCCTCCCTGCATCTTCACTTTCTGGGTGAAGCATTGAAGGAGCAGTCAGGGAGAGGAGGCTGTGGTCCAGGACAACTCCTCAGTCTGATGGAGGAGGTGGGCACGCCACCAGAGCACAGACAGACATGGAGAGATGAGAATAGGCAGGGGCTGTGGTTTGATAGCATTTTTTTATATATATAAAACTTCTCTCCAGGGGACCAGCAGTTAGCGTAGTGGCTATGTCGCTGGACTCCCACGTAGTTGACCGTGGTTCGAGTCCCGGACCCAGTGGCTTAAACTCACGCCCAGCGCGTGTGTGTGCGTGCCCAAGATCCCAAGAGGAGAATGGAGGAGAAGGGATTGCGGTGTGACCATCCCCCTGGGGGTTGATTTCTCGCTTTCTATCTCTCTGTCTCTCTCTCTGTCTGTCTGGTGAGCGCAAAAACCTCTCCAAAAACAAACAAACAAAACAAACTTCTGTCCAGACAGATAGGGTCTCCACACAGAGACTAGGACAAGGCATGGGATTCCCTGAAAGCTGGAGGAGGCAGAACATGCACACCAGACACATAAGAAAGAGCAGTAGAGAGCCACCCTGAGACTGCGGCAGAGGAAGGCAGAGCTCGCATTGCCATAGGGGTTGGTCCACCAGGGGCTTGAAAAACACTACATGCCCACACACATGTCTAGGATTCTGATGGGATGGAGAATTAGCTGAAAAAGGACTGCACCATAACCAGGTCCCTTGGGAATGGGGGAGGCATCCTCTCTCTCTTTCTCTTTCTCTCTCTCTCTCTCTCTCTCTCTCTCTCTCTCACACACACACACACACACACACACACACACACCGAACCCAGGCACCTGAGGCTTCCTGGGCAATATTCATTTCCAACAGGTATGGGCCAAGAGGAGGGACTGGCTAGGATAGGTTTTTGGTGGAAAACGTCACCATTTGGGAGGAGATTCTTATCCCTGGAGGCATGGACAAGACCTCCACTTGATTATGTATGCATGTAGCCTTAACAGATGGTGAAGAGAGGCCAGGGGTGTTGGGAGGTGAGGAGGAGAAAGGCTGGTATGGAAGCTGGAGGAAGGTGGATCCTCCAGGATGCTGGAACAAGATGCCTGAGATGGCTGTTCCTCTGGGCGGCAGGTGCGCTTCCTGGAGCAGCAGAACAAGCTGCTGGAGACCAAGTGGCAGTTCTACCAGAACCGCAAGTGCTGCGAGAGCAACCTGGAGCCACTGTTTGAGGGCTACATCGAGACGCTGAGGCGGGAGGCCGAGTGTGTGGAGGCCGACAGTGGGAGGCTGGCCTCAGAGCTCAACCACGTGCAGGAGGTGCTGGAGGGCTACAAGAAGAAGTGAGTGCACTAAGGAGAAGGGTTTGGAAAAACAAAACGGGATTAAGTCAAAGCAGGATAGATTTGGATTAGACCAGAAGTACTTTCCAGCAGGAAAAAGACAGTGATGACAAGACTGTGCAAGGGTAGAGGGATTCTTTTCTGGGCAGGGAGTTTAAACACTGGAGCGATTAGGAGCTGCTCCATCTCCCTCCTCATGTTTATTTCATTAGTTCATCAGACATTTACTAAGAATCTACTTAATGTCCCATGCCCAATCTACTGTGTGTTAAGCCCCAAGTGGGAACGGAGTAAGAAAGGAAGGGGAGGAAAAGAGTTTGCCAGAACTAGGGCAGGGCTGCTGCCTCTGGGAATTACAGGCCGGAAGTGAGAAGGAGACCTGTGAGAATGTACAAGGCCCTCAGCCTGACCCCTATCAGGACAGAGAGTACCTGGAGCAGGAAGAGCTGTGGGTGGCGTGGGTTGGTCGGAATGGACAAGGTCCCTTCTAGTCCAACACTTGATTCTCTGGCCACCTCCAAAGATCCAATTCCTGGAATATGTTTCTTTTTTTCTCCCCAAATCTGAACCTATGCCCTTTGTCCCCAGATATGAAGAGGAGGTAGCACTAAGAGCCACTGCAGAGAATGAATTTGTGGCCCTAAAGAAGGTGAGTGGCCCCAGAATTCTTGTCCCCAACTCAGTGCCAAGGGCAGAGACAGGAGACGTGCTCTGCAGTTCAGAGAGGCAGAGTCATTCTCCCAGAGTCACTCAGCCCCGCCTCTCTCTGTCTCCTTCCCAGACACCCCAATGCTCCAGATACTGGAGCCTCTGACATCCAAATCCATTGCCTGCTTCAAACAGGGCAATGCCCCTACACCATCCAAGCTTACCACCTGCCTGGTGCCCTGTGAATGGCACTGAGTGGGCACTCAGTGCTTGTGAATGAAAGAGCACGTGGATGCTGGGGAAGGGCTATGTCCTCAGGCCAGCAACTGCTGGCCAGTGCTGGGGTGACGAGTCACTGTTGTCCCTCAATTCTCAGACTTGACTCTGTACAATGCCATTGCCCAGACACCCATCTGACCTTTCACCCACCTCTGCATGAGGAAGGCAGTGTTACTGTGAGAAAATAAGGCACGGAGGTTAAGGATTTCACCCTCACGCTGACTTAGCAGTGGCAGAGCTGATCCCTGGCCCTCTTCCGGCCACAGGTCTAGATTTCTTTCCATAAATTGCAGAGTAGAGAGGTGGGTCCGCATCACAATGGACTCATTCACACTAGACCCTGAGTTGTGGTGCTAGTGCATAATGTGGATTCTAGAGGACTCAATCCCAATGGGTACCAGCGGAAAGTACAAGGAACCTCGGGGTCCCCCCCTTTCCCTAACCTGTTCCTGACCACACTGAGTGCATAAAGGGCCTTGCCACTCCATGACACTGAGCTGTGTGACGAGCATCAAAGGAGGGTTTCTGGGGAGTTTGCTCAGATTTATGGGGTGCTCTTGCCTGGTGGGAAAAATCTGAGCTTGGTATTGTCTCTCCAGTGAGACACCTGTGTCTTCTCCCCTTAGGACGTGGACTGCGCCTACCTGCGCAAGTCAGACCTGGAGGCCAACGCCGAGGCCCTGACCCAGGAGATCGACTTCCTGAGGAGACTGTACGAGGAGGTGAGGGGACACGCCAGGCAGACACCCGGCAGCCAGCATTGAAGACAGCGGTTTGGTCTGAGGGTTGGAGTGTTGGACGAGGGTATGGACCAGGGTAGGCACATTCAGTCCATGAATGCATGGGAAGGGGCTGGGACTGGGGACAGGAAAGGTCTGACAGGACTGGACAAAGGCTATGGTGGGTGGCATC